ATCCTGACAACTTTAATTTCTAAAAAATTCTTTTTAACGACATATTTTCAATCCAAATTAAAACTTAAAATATAGTAGACTAAGAAAATGTTAAACAGTACTTCAATTTCTTTAAACTAATTTATTTCAAGGCTAATTTGATAGTAATATTTACTCTTAGAAATTAAATAAATGTCAAAAATTTGTACGGACCGATAGGAATAATTTTGCGGGTGAGTTGGACCCGCTCACATGTCCGCTTTGGATATCTCAGTCTCTCAATCGCAAAAGGGACTACTTGGAATTTGTAACCTAAACAGAAAAGACGTCAACTTACCACTTGAGCTATAGCTTGCATAGTGCAACCAGACGCTTATGAGGTCTGTTCAGAAAATAACCGAAAATTACAAAAAATGCATTTCATAGGATAAGTATGAAAAAATATATATATTTTTTATTATCATAAAAAATATATTTTCTTGTGAAATTTAACTATTATTTCAAGCTGTGACATTATAACAAACAATTTTCGCAGTTCATATTGTTGAAAATTGTGTTAAAAGGCCGACTTTGTGAATAGCATGTTTTATTAGTTTTATTTTCCTGTTTTTTTTATTTAATGATATTTCAGACACTATTACAAGTCAAGTAATAATATAAAACCTTTTTTGGCATAAAATGTATGATAATTTTGCCCCTGTATTGTAAAACTCTTTAGTTGGATGAGGCGTTGAATTCAAATTGTATGACCCGAGATAATATACCAAAAATTCGGCCCTCGGCAAGCGTTAGGTGGAATAATTGGGTTTTATACGCCCCTCACGTTGTCGTTTATTAAAGTCCGTTAACTACCCTGTTCCCCAGGACCCTTGTGTAACATTATGTTACATCAAGAGGTAATTTATAAATATAAATCAAATTGTGTTTTTGCGCGAGATAAATGTATATTGGTTATTCCCCCAAATTCAAGTAAGCTGCGTAAAATTTATAAAATTAGAAAGGCTTTTCAAGGCTTCACCGATTTATAAATTGTGTTCGATGCCATTTTCGGTTTGTCCGCTTTAAGCTTTTAACTAGAGGTACTCGTACCGCCGTCTGTCCTTTGGACAATCACTGTTGACATTTTCATATTTGTTGTAATATCTGCCAAATATGTAATAATGAGAATCTGAGTCTTCAAAATAAACTTTGAGTTTCTAGAAATGCCGGGAATTTAAGATATTTATCGTATTGTGTTAATCAAACTATCATATCTAAGAAATTTATACAGGGTGTCCGCAAATTTCACCGACAACGTTTGACTGCATATTCACGGTGATAAACAAATACGATCTACGAAAAAAAGTTAAATAGAAACTTTTTGGTTTTTGAGTTACAAGCTTTCAGAGTTGTTTTCGTAGCAGTATCACGGATTTAAACGTTTGAGTCCAGTAGGCGATGAAAACAAAATGTTGATTGCTGCGACTATCAGGTAATGTCATTATTGCCATTTGCTCTAAGTGACAGCATATTGTTATTCGACTTTTATTTTAATATTAATTAATTTCGCAAGTTTTTTTAAATTTGTTCCATTGGTTTATTTAGGAGGAAGTTTTTTTTATTAATATCATTCTATTGCACATGGAATATTCATTCAATAGGCTTGTCGACATGCGTTTAATCTGTAAAAGCCAGTCATCCTCGTCAGTTATTACTTGAAGTAGAAGAAGAAATTCTTAATGTTATTGAAAATGAGCCAAGACGTGTCCGCAGTGTATCAAGACAATTAAATGTATGTAAAACTAATGTTCACAGAATAGCAACTTCTTCGGCCATTTCATTTAACTCCTGGTAAGAATTTGAAGATTTATACTGTTTTATTTTAATTTTGGTGATTATTGGTGACGTAAATTTAAAAGAGTTTTTCTTAAAAGAAATGTCTGGTTTAAATTTGGATCTACCAAATCGTCATCAGATCAAAAACAAAATTGTTAAAAGGTTTATTATGTTCCCATTAAAAATAGCTTCCAAAAAATGCCAAAAAGTATCAAAAAATCTTGCAAGTAAAAGTGTTGCTGGACATTTATTGCAACAAATACTATCACTAGTATTAGGTATTTGTTTTTGTAATGTAAACCCAATAAATTTCATTGTGTAATGTAGGTATGCTTAATTTTACTTACCTAGAAAATAAAAACCAATAGTTGCTATTATTATATACAGGGTGGCCAAATGAAAACGAAACAGAACCATTTTCAGGAACTGCGTCAAGATTGTAGAAAAACGATCAGACCCGTTGATTTTAGATTAAAGGGATTCTTTGCTGGTATTTTTGACCCCGTCACTTTCACCCCCAAGCAAGGGTAATCATCACCCCAAAATATTTAAATGGAATTGGGGGTTGAGTAATATTTCTTTTGAAAGCTCTTACAATTCTCTTTACAACAGACTTTAAATTTTATAATTCCGCCCAATACTTTGAAAAAAATTTACATTTTAAAATTGAAATAATGTTTAGTTGCTTACTTACTACTTAGTTGATTAAATGTTCAAACTGATGACCGTCCGCTACCATACAAAAATAAAGATTTTGTTCGAAACGTTCGCGTACATTCCGAAGCATTTCCGAAGTGATTCGACGGCATTCGTCGACGATTCTTTGACGCAAATCTTCCAGCGACGCTGGCTGTGTTTTATAGATTTTACTTTTTAGGTATCCCCACAAAAAGAAATCAAGGGGCGATAAATCCGGTGATCGTGGAGGCCACTCAATGCTGCCTCTTCTCCCAATCCAATTCCGTAGAAAACGTTGGTCCAAATACTGACGGACAATTAACGCATAATGCGGAGGAGCACCGTCCTGTTGAAAAATCAAATGATCTTCATCATACTCTGGAACATTTTCAATAATATCAGTCAAGGCAGGGTCAATAGCGTCTTCCAGTAATTGCAAATACATTTGGCCAGTCAAATTACCAGGTAGAAAAAAAGGACCCACCAGCCGGTCACCGAAAATTCCAGCCCATACATTTAATTTTTCCGGTTGCTGTGTATGCACCTCGTGAAAAACTCTTGGGTTTGAATCGGACCAATAGCGGCAATTGTGACGATTTACCGTCCCGTTCAAGAAAAAACTGCATTCATCAGAAAAACAGATGTTAAAAAGGAACTGTGGATCGTTCCCTGCTCGCTCACTCATTATTTCGCAAAATTGCAAACGGCGGTCATAATCATCCTCATGAAGTTCCTGGACTAAATGTATTTTGTATGGATGGAATTTATTCTTCTTCAAAATGGTTTGTATGCTAGTTCGATTGATCCCAGACACAGATGCCAGCTGCCTCGTACTTAATGTAGGATCAAGATGAACTTGTCCCAAAACTGCAACTTCACTAGCTTCATTAACTATAGGTTTTTCAATTTCTCGTTTTTTATTGGCTACGTTCCCTGTCTCTTGAAATTTTTTTACTAACTCTAGAACATACTTCCTCCTGACATGTCGATCTTGATGTTGTTCATTAAATAGCTGAGCTGTTCTATTCGCACATTTATTGTTCATAAAGTAAAGCGAAATGATATCTACCCTTTCCGCAATGGAATAAACCATAGTGCTTAATTTTCAAAAACACAATTAAATAAACTACCAACCAACGCTTCCAAATAATACTAGAAAATAATTTGGAATCCACTAATTTTACGTTTATTGTGCGTATTATTATTCATTTTTGTTTTTTTACAATTGTGTTTTTTTTACGAAAGTGATAACAAATCGCCAAAAACCAATGTAACTCAAGAAGTACTAAATTTATACCATTGGTGTACTTAACTCGAATGACTGATATTTTACCGTTATTAATTGTTTCAAATTTAAAGTAAAAAATTCTTAATAAGTATTGGGCGGAATTATAAAATTTAAAGTCTGTTATAAAGAGAATTGTAAGAGCTTTCAAAAGAAATATTACTCAACTCCCAATGCCATTTAAATATTTTGGGGTGATGCTTACCCTTGCTTGGGGGTGAAAGTGGCGGAGTCAAAAATACCAGCAAAGAATGTCAAGAATGTCAGAATACAATATTGACGCAGTTCCTGAAAATGGCTCTGTTTCGTTTTTATTTGGTCGCCCTGTATTTATTCTCCCCTACTGCACAGTAGATTCTACATTCATTCATTATTTAAAATCACTTTTCAATGGAGTTATTTGCTTAAAATATGTGCGTAAAATTTATAAGAAAAATATTGTACTTAATTTTTTTTATATAAAAGTTACTTTTAATTTGACATTGGAATGGCGGATGGGTGAGGTTTAGTCGCTATTGTCGCCACTGTCTTGTATTGTAACCGAAACATACAGACCTGCAAATAATGCCATTTTTCTCAAGAATGGCTTTCTCTAGGCGATGTTCTCAAGAGACATTTTTTTTTAATTAAAACGACTTTTCCAATGTTGCTTCCGGTTTAAAAAAAATACTGCCACTGTAAAAGTTTTGACCGCTAAAAGGGGAAGGTAACCGGAGGAAACTATTAGCCAGTATATCGATTTGAATAAAGCTTTAAGAAATAATACGTCATAATAGTCCAAATAAATGTGTCATATTTTAACGCCATTGGTAAAAGGGTTATGAAGGTATTAATTAAATTAATTTTATTTTTGACAACTTTGAAGGCCTGTAACCCAAAAACTAAAAAGTTTCTGTTTAACTTTTTTCCGAGATCGTATTTATTTATCGTCGTGAATATGCCGTCAAACGTTGTCGGTGAAATTTGCGGACACCCTGCAGATAATTATTATTTTTCCAACCTATATCTTTATGCAGTTGCAACATTTAGTCGGTTGGCTAAATAAACCATCCAATTTCTTAACTGCTACAGATAAACATCCAAATGGATCACTTTTAGAACAGACAAACAATTATAAAGACATTTATTTAATTACTTAAATCTTCTGAGATATAAAAACATTGTTTTCCCACTCCAAATCGACGTTTGTTTAAAAATAAGATTAATGGTGTTTTCTAATTCTAATACTCAACTTGATTTCCAGGTAATCAAGACATATTGATCTGCGGCAACTGTAGAGAAATGTTTTCCGACCTGCACGAACTCCTAGAGCACAAAAAGACCTACTGCAAATTGCGTTTTACCTGCAAATGTGATTCAAATAAATCTAGTAAGTCTTATTCCTTTTAACTTGGTGTCTCCTATCTTGTTGCCTTTATAAATTTAGTCCGCCGCTTAAGGTGGCCACCTGTGTCTCTTCGTAAATTTTCCGAGAATTAATCCTTAAATCCCACTTTATTGCTTGGGGTTCATTCAGAAGGGTTGGCCGGTTAACCACTTCCTACTTATCAGCTCGTGATCAGTTTTATAAACTTAGGAGATGTTTTTTAATTTATTACATGAAGTGATTCATTGCGGAATTAGGTTAACCCTAATTACGCGATTAAGGTTTCAAACTTGCATCTGTTTTATGACTCTCCAAATTAAATTTTAGTACTATGATATACTATGTAGTTATAAAAAACCTTAAATACTTTTTTCTTCTACAAATATGCACAAATTAGACATATTGAAAATAATTTCAAAATTACTTCAGTTACTATTAAAACCCCTATATATTCATTTGAGTTCATCATTGTCAAAACCTTTCAGGTTGAACTGAAAAAGTAGATACTCTTTTTTAGAAGTACCTGAGTGGAACTAGTAAGGTTAAAACTGATCTATATCTGGTGACTCTCCTGATGTATGAGATTTACTAAATACAAATAAAATTTGGCATGGATAATTTAAAAGAAATGGAATTCAACCAGTTTATGTCAAATTTGCAAAAATTCATACAGTGTTTAAGAATGTGTGACCAATGTTGTGACGTTAAAGTTAAATTTACTCAAATATTTCGAATGATACACCCTGTATATTATTACATTAATGGATGCAAATTTACTTTAAAATGATACTATAGTTCCCTATACCCAAAGTTAACAGTTGTGTAAATTGGAAATTATCGATTTCAACACAGAACGGTGAATCTGATGCACTAAAGAATTGAATAATAAACGGTATCTGATTAATGAACTGTAATTTTTATTATTATTATACTTTCATCAAAAACAATAATTCAGCATATTAAATTAAAAAGGATGTTGCTTTAAATAAACTCACCATACTCGTAGATTTTTCTGTGTTGAAATCATTAATTTCCAGTTTACACAAGAACGGTTAACTTTGGGGACCTATAGGGAACTATAGTATAATTTTAAAGCAAATTTCTGCATCCATTAATGTAATAATATACATGATGTACTATTTGAAATTTTTGAGTAAATCCAACTTTTATACATTATTCATGAATTTTTGCAAATTTGACATAAACTGGTTGAATTCCATTGCTTTTAAATTTTCCATGCCAAATTTCATTAATAAATAAAGCAAAATGTCGGAGTTACTCTAATTTCAAAAATCATTTACATCCCTCAATTTTTTTCGAAAATTAATAACAACTTGACAACTGTCGCATTTTGGTCCATAGTACCACACGGTGGGCTTGAACATGACTTAAATGCGAAGTTTTAGCACCACCGATTTTCTTTCGGCATTCGATTCCTGGAGTCATAAGAAGGCCAGAAAAAAAATCCACCGAAATCCTTAGAGCCGTTTTTGAAAAAATACACTTTTCAATGAAGAAAAATTCACTGTTCGAGATATCGGGATTTTTCTACTTTTCGCTCACGTTTAGTTGCCAAACTTCCCCAATTTGGCAAAAATGACGTTTTCCTGAAAGTTTTACACTAGCACACAAACATTTACAAGCATATTTTTCAAATTGCCCCTTTTACTAAGACCGGAGATGGAGATACTCATTGACGATTCTCAGAAACAGGTTAAAATAGAAAAAAATTGAAAAAATTATTTTTCATTCGAGTGAGTTTTGCGGTAGTATGTCAACAAGCGAGAATCATGTCATTTATTTCCATCCTTGTTTGATTTGCGAGGTCATTGAACTATCGCCAACCCCCACCCTCGATTGTTTGTTTACGTTTTGTGATACTCCAGATCGAATGACCAATATTATTCGTGAAATTAGTTAAAACTCTAGATAGTCTTAGACCCTTTGACTGTAAAGTTGAAATTGTTCTCTTCGAAATTTCAATTTCTTGTGAAAGTATGGACAGAAGATCAAAGGATCATGCAGGAACCGATCAAGAAAATCGGGAGCGGATATGTTCTCCCTGCCTGCAGAAGAAGAAACAAATGGTCAAAATCAGTCGGTAGTGTATTTGTGAATATAAAAAAATGTGTGAATTATGCTGAACAGGATGAAGGTTTTCCCAATGTTTTATGTAGCGCTTGCAAAATTATCCTATATCGGTCAGTGAAGTATCGGGAAAATAGCCCTGCCGGACTATACAGAGTTTGAACTTTGAAGAAGAATTGGTACAAGATCCAGGGCCGTATTACACGTTCTTGGAAACTCGGGAAGTGTTTTTCTGGGCTAAAAAAATGTTTTTCCCTACCGAATAAGTTTCACCACATTTTCTGCACTTGTTGCTCCTCTTCTTTTTGTTCTTGGCGGTTTTTTTGGTGAAGTTATTTGGCCCTGGATCTCATACCAATTCACACAATGTACAACTGCACAACGTTTGAGTTTTTGCCCGAGTTTTCTTCTCCAAAATTCTGAACTCTGTATAGTCTGGCAGGGCTATTTTCCCGATACCTCCACACTTCACTGACCTATATAAGATAATTTTGCAAGCGCTACATAAAACATTGGGAAAACGTTCATCCTGTTCAGCATAATTCACACATTTTTTTAGATTCACCAACTACCATTGATTTTGACCATTTGTTTCTTCTTCTGCAGGCAGAGAAAACATATACGCTCCCGATTTTCTTGATCGGTTCCTGCATGATCGTTTGGTCTTCTGTCCATACTTTCACAAGATATTGAAATTTCGAAGAGAACAATTACAACTTCACAGTCAAAGGGTCAAAGACTATCTAGAGTTTTAACTAATTTCACGAATAATATTGGTCATTCGATCTGAAGTATCACAAAACGTAAACAAACAATCGGGGGTTGGGGTTGGCGATAGTTAACTGACCTCGAAAATCAAACAAGGAAGGAAATAAATGACATGATTCTCGCTTGTTGACATACTACCGCAAAACTCACTCGAATGAAAAATAATTTTTTCAATTTTTTTCTATTTTAACCTGTTTGCTAGTGTAAAACTTTCAGGAAAACGTTATTTTTGCCAAATTGGGGAAGTTTGGCAACTAAAAGTGAGCGAAAGGTAGAAAAATCCCGATATCTCAAACAGTGAATTTTTCTTCGTTGAAAAAGGGTGTTTTTTCAAAATCGGCTCTAAGGATTACGGTGGATATTTTTTTCTGGCCTTCTTGTGACTCCAGGAATCGAATGCCGAAAGAAAATCGGTGGTGCTGAAACTTCGCATTTAAGTCATGTTCAAGCCCACCGTGACCTTATATGAAAATAGTCTAGAATTTGCCGTAGAATTAAAAAATGCATAAATATAAATAGTGTTCCATTTGAAATAACAGAGCTGATGATGACTTCCGGTATAATCGGAAGTGCGAGGAAGTTGACACTATTTTCATTGAATAGATCTTTTTGATAAACCCCTGTATACAAATTTTCAGATTTCTATTCTGGCTACTTTTTGAGATAATCCTACTGGGCTCTCTTCGTGATACACCCTGTATAGTGGTGAAAAAATGTATTTAGGAAACATTTATCGTTGAGGTCGAGGAAGATTTGAGATGCAGAATGTTTTATTGTCACATACGAAATTTTATGTTAATATTGTGCATTTAATGATGAATCTTAAAATAATTTAATTTACTAAGTAGCAAACGGATAGCATAACATTTAGAGCTTTTAGGAGCTACATATATTTAAACTTATCTACTTTAGATCACTATTAACGAAGTTAAATTTAATCTTATTCAGACTCTTGTCCTGTAGACTTATACCAGATAACCTGCACGATTTACCCTTTACTAGAAACCAAATTGGATCGGCAATGTAATGTTAATTCAACTTTAAAAGAGAATGGTTATTTATGACAGATATCGTATGACATAGTATCAAAATGTAGATAGATTTTTCCTTGGAAAAATTTTGTAATATGTAACTACGTTTCTTTCCTTTTCCAGAATCACAATCAGACGACCCCAGTTCGGCCTCGTTATTATGTGTTCAATGCAAAGACGCGTTCCAGAACGCCTGGGACCTCATGGTTCATGCACAAGCGGCCCACATGTTAAACATATACGAATTAGGAGTACCAACAATCATAAATTGTTCTTCACCCTCACCAGTACCCAACGACAATTCATTAGAAAAGGTAATGTCCAGTTTCCTGCATGCTGATTATTAGTTAGTGATAGGGTCGTAGTATAAAACACTTGTGTCATTAAATAATATAAATTCGATAACGGTGACATATTCACTACTTAAAAATTGTTAACTTTCGTTATACTCGTTCGAGAGATTGGCTGTTTTGTCACGTCCTATTTCCTTTAAATTTTTATTCTACTGCACCAACAAAAACCAATACTCGTATCTATAAACGAGTAGGTTCATTAGAATTAGTTAAAATTCACTAACTAAAACGTTTTTTTTAATACGTAACAATATAGCAAACCATTAAAAATAGTTGCCATGGATATAATAGACGAATTTAGTAAACAACATCACATTTCACTGGAAACAAATTAATGTAGTGCAATCATGTCATCGTGAAACATTCCAAATCTGTAGTCAAAATTTTTTGTATCCATAAAGGCCAACACTATTATGAATATTCCATTAAGAACGAAAAGTGATGCTGAAGTCAGTTCCAATTCATCATGGAGTGTTATCAGTGAGTCCGAAGACTGTGAGTTCGTATCTGAGGAGAATAATATAATTTTAGAATGTGACAGTGACAGCAAGAACGAAACTGAAGATAATTCATTCGATATTTGCGAAGGCAAAGCTCATGAAATTATAGAATCGGAGAGTGAAGATAACACAGGATTTGTGTGTCTTGATCGAGTGACCAAGACAACCAAACAAACTCAACTGAAGAACAAATCGAAAAATGTTAAAACTAAAAGCAAGAAACCGAAGAAGAACCGGAAAAAGGAAAAAGCAGAAACGTTGAGTCTTCTATCTATTGCAGCATCAGTTTTAACCATTACAGGAATTACTTTTTTGTGCATGTTGTTTCCACAAAGTTTTGAGAAAGACACGATACAAAATGTACAAAAAACGTACATCGACGTGGTTACAAGTAAAAACGCAAATGCAGAGAATTTCTTAAACAGAACTGCTGAAATATACGATGTTGTAAATGAAACGGATTTCTTTAAGAACATGAAGGAAGCTATAAATGAAAACGATTACTTCACGCAGGAAGAAGTATGTCCAGTCGATGAAACAAACAAAGAGGACTATAAATTCGATCCCCCTATTAACTTTGCCCCTTCACCTAGATTTGGACCATCAGAAAAACAATCCAAAACTGAACCTTCTACATCTTACCAGCAAGTTCAGAACAAAACGATGGGATTAATTAAAAATGTGAAGAAAATATTAATGGATCCGAATCTGCAAATATTTATATGCACTGTCCTACAGGATATTTGTTTAATTAAATTGGTCAACCAATTAAATAAGCAACAAGTAGAGAAGTCGGTGGATAGCAGTGAGGTGAGCCCAGAAAAATTAAGTATGCGAAGTTCAAAAAAGAAAGCGGGTACAAAAATAACTAGCCTAAAAAGTAAACCAAACGTCAAAATCAACAAAAAATCACACAAAGTAGCCACTGTTGGTGACGTCACAAATTCCCGTCAAGAGACCTCAGTGCCACCATTTGCTGTCTCCATAGAATCAAAGAAATTGAAAGAAGGACTTAATAATGACAGTACTGTTAAACTAATAAAAAATGAGAAAGAAAATAGTAAGAGTGAATGTAAAAGGAAATTTGAGGAACTTGATAACAAATGGGAAGCAGCGGGGCATATTCACCGGCAGAAAGTTCAAGAAATTAAAGAAAAATTCAAGAACGAAATCTTTCATATTAAAGAAAACGAACGTGAATTTCCACTAAGAAGGCAGAGAATCCAAGTGTTGCGTGAAAAATACATCGAACGTTTAAGGCTGGACAGAGAAAAATACTTGTACAAGCTTCAAAAGTTAAGAGAAGAGCGACAGAGAATCATGAAGCGGTTGTGCCAGAAAAAAAGTAACGAGGTGGATTTTAGGGATGCCTCTGTTGGCAACTATACAGTCTTGCTACCGGACACTTACGATTTCCAGCAAAAGTTACAACTACTTAAAAAAGAAAACCATGAAACTCGAATATCATTACCTTCGATACCAACAGCTTCATTTCCAAAGATAGGTGCTGTGAAGAACAGCAAGTTCATCAAATTTCAGTCGATTCCTAACATTCCTAAACAAGCGAGACCAAAACTAAATATCAGTGCCACTACAGAAACATTTAACGCCAAGAAAGAAAAATATCTCGAGAAAGTTAAGAATTACTACGAAAAGAAAAACAACTATTTACAGAAGAAAGCGCTAATAAACAAAGAAAATAAAAATTTTGACTTTACTTCTAAAACAGTGGAAACTATTGGCGAAGCACTAATTGAAGACATAATATCACAGATGGTTTCAAATATACATGAACTTGACAAAGAAGTGCTTGAAAGCTCTAGTAACTCCAGTGTTGAAACAGTGAAAGCAAGCGATTCTCCAAGTGGGAATATTTCATCTGAAGTTGTTAATGTATCTGATATCAGTGCTAACAACCGAATTGAAATGGGACCTATCAATCAAGACTTTAAATTGGTTATTAAGAGAAAACCTAAAAAACGAGATTTGTATGACCTCGCGTTTGACGGAAAAAGCAAAAAGGTGAAGCAAGATGACAGGGTAAAGTGGAATTTGGAGAGAAAAGAGAAGTTTTATAAACTGCCGCAACATCGAGTGCTAATCAAGCAAGATCCGCAGAAAGCCTTTAAAGAAAAAATTATTGTCAGGGGTCATATATAGACGACTTTGTATACACCTTGAAGATCAATGAATAAATTATATTTTAGTAAACTTATGCGTACTTTTATATACGATATACGATCAATAAAATCATTAAAAAAAGGGAAGCGACCCCATTTATATTTTCAATTCAGTAAAACTGCAGAGTCCTTAACTTCGAAGTGGATGAACGTCGGGGATAAACTGTACAATTTTTTGTTTCTATAAAAAATTAAAGTTAACCAACGCTTTAAATTTATTCATCAGTCTCTGAATGGGGCTACAGACTAGTTGGAAAGTAAGGTTCGCTCTGCGAAAGCTTCCCTGCTCCTGAAATACTACTCGTTGTAAACTTTGCTAGTGAATTTAAAATTCAGTTACTCAACCGTGATCAGGGTCAGGTGGCAGAGCATAAAAGAGAGATATATTTATCAGAATTAAGTTCATTAAGAGGTTAGACGAGTGAAAAATTAGGGTGGAAGTTAATCAACATTAATTGCGCTCGCGGGTGTAATATTTTACAATACAAACTTGAAGCCGACATGACCATTAACTTAAAGTACAATTCTCCATTAGTATGAAGAAGAGGGAAAATCAAAATTATAAGATTTCTAACTTTTCTTTAATGAAGTGCCTTTTATATAAAGATAAATTACTAAAATTCTATTAATACCGGATCTGTGGGATAAATTAATATTAATGGAAGGTTGGCAACCCTTTTATATCCCTTGTACTTTTTTGTATGGTATTTCTGTTTAAGGCTTAAACATTATGGAAACATTTTCTTAAATCAGAAATGAAGAATCTATTTTTCTTATCATTTTAGTCTGGTTTAGTTGCTCTTTTAACAGGGTGTTCAGGAAATGGTTGATAATCTTTGGATTTGGGTAGGTCTTGCAAAATAACACCGCACATCAATTTTTTTGTAAGTCTAAAAATAATGTACAAGTTTTTATCAATATTTTTGCCCTGTAGAGTCACTAGCTCTTAAACTGAAGATTTGAACGCCGATTTTTCATTATACATTTAATTATTTTTTTATTTTTTAAGGCGTTTTTTAAGAATTGGTATTTATTTAAGACAAAAATTTATTTGCTTTAGAACATTTCGTACAGAGTTCTCAGTTTTAACTCCTTTGCCAGTACTAATATGCTACTAAAAATCAAATAATTGTAATATTATGGAGAATTTCAATATTATTTCTTGTAATGTGATTGTAATATAAAAATATCTTCATTGGATATACAGGGTGATTTCACTTTAAATACAGAAACTGCAGGAATAGATTAGTTGCCAAAAAATAAGTGGAGTTTGCTACAATCTGTTTTGCTGGGGGACGTGGTATTCGAGATATGGGGGGTTAAAGTTTCCAAAAAAAAATTATATTTTCGGTCATATCTTCATATTGCGCTGAACGATTTGAATGAAATTTATTACAGTGTAATCACGTAATTAGACCTTTTATTGAATGTAATATTAACCTTGTAGTTTTAACCAGTGGCGTGCTACTGGAGGTGTCACCCCATTTACCTGAAAAAAATACGCCACTGGCAGTTTTCTTGTAGAAATAATGTTGCAATGAATGAAAAATGTTTCTTGGTGTTTTTGAATAGTAGCGACTGTTTAGGAGATTTTTGAGCTTATTTTTACGTTTTATTGAATTTTCCGTTTATTTTATTCAATTCCGAATTTTCGAATTTTTCAAAATTTTTTAAAAAAATTATTTTGCGAAAACTATCAAACCGATTTTAATGAAATTTGATGTGTTGTTTTATTATACTCTAAAGTTTTTTTTATCAAAATTAGAATGCCCTCGGAACAATTAAAATATTTTAATAAAATTATCCAAAAACTTGATTATTTTGCCTTTTTTTCATCCATTATTGCTATTTTACAATATCGGTAATAAATTCAAACATTTTTAACTTACAGTATATTGTGCAAAATTAAATTCTAAAAATTTTTGCCTCTTCAATATTCTTCCAAAATTCATAGGTTCCAAGATATAAGATTTTTTAAAATTTTTTAAACATTACTGCAATTTTGAAAATGTTCCGGACCTCGCCCAGATTTAGGGATCTACACTTTTATTATGTGAGTTGTACTGAAGGTATTCCTGCAAAAATTAGCTTGCCCTCTCTTACATCCAAAAAGAGGGATATTTCGACAGATCTGCCCCCGTCTATGTAGGTAGTTTTTAAGTGTTTATTACTATTTTATAGCAGTAAAGAGCCAAATGTGAGCTGAGTTTGGATTGAGTTCAGAAAATGTATAAAAAATACCATATTAGATACAATAATTTTTTTTTGTTGCATATTACTT